CACGGTAGCTCTCACAGCGGTGAGCGCCCACATCCTTCTCCTATTCTCCGATTCAACCCATTAACTTGCTTCGTGCCCTTATGCCTTCGTTTTGTGCTTCCTTGGCTCCTTTTCACCTACAAAATGTTGTGTTCCTTGCTCGTTCTTATATTCGCCCAATCTTCCTTACCTACAATAAAACACAATTCAATTAAGAGCTATTTTCATCTCAATCACATTAATCATAGATTCAAAATGAGTTAAAATGAAGTGGCCCACTAATCCAAATTATTGCTTACCAGGTAGTGTTGAAAAGTCAACATACCTAGACAAGTTTCCAAAAATGCTTTATAGAAAGCTTATACATCTAGACTTTTTTTTCACTAGGATCATCATGAAGAGATAGTGAGTTGATATTTTAAAGTGGTTCGGGAACTCCCTACTCCACTCTTCTTCGTGATTCGGGTTCTTTAAGTTCATTGCAATTTGTTACTTTTTTCTTATTTGAATCATTACTTATTGTTGTTATGAAATTATATTATATCTTTGAATCTATGCTTGTTTCCATATTAATCATGTTTGAGTAATCTCCTATGAAGGGGATGAGGATGAGGATTAGGTTTAAGTGAATGTGACTTTGAACTGGTTGAATAAGAGTGATAAATGTAACTTTATGATGTTAATTAACATGATTGGGTTTCCATTGGGATATAATTACCTCATCTAGACTTGAGGGGTTAATTAACCATGCCCCACCTTTGAGAAAATGAGAGTATGGAATGGCAAGAACTCAAGATATTTGATGAATTAAATTTCACTTAGGTACTCATGATTCATGAGAATGTCCGTGTGTATCCTAACGGAGTGGAATGACCTTGAGAAAGGCGTTCCTCCCGTTCGATGCCATTCGTTTTGAAGTCATTTAACTTTCATTCTTGTTCTCGATTTGGTCACATTACTTGAGCCTAGTCTAAACTTCTATCATCCTCTTTCTATTATTTGTTATTCGTTTTAATTGTTATTTTTATTAGTCTATTCCTATATTGTATGAAATGATATTTCTAAGGGCTAGAATTCTATAGATGTTTTAGTACTTTGTGATTTAGTGAAAGTTGAGCATATAACTATCACCAATCCTCAAGAGAACGACAATTATTTAGAATGTGCATGATTTTCCTTATTAAAGTGTGTGAGTTTCCTTCTTAAGGCGTGTGGTTTCTGTGCTTAAGGTGTGTGGTTTTTGTGCTGTGTGCTTAAGGTTGAAACTTAACTGCGTCGGTCTAAAGGTTTAGGTGCGTGGTTTTCCTTCTTAAGGTGCATGGTTTTCCATCTTAAGGTGCGTGGTTTGTGTGCTTAAGGTGCGTCATCAGTTGTTGAAACTTAAGGTGGGTCGCCTAAAGCTTTGTGTGCCTGGTTTTCCTTCTTAAGGTGAGTTGTTTTCTTTCTTAAAGTGCGTTATTTTCCTTCTTAAGGTGCGCCGGTCTAAAACTTTAGGTGTGCGGTTTTCCCTCTTAAAGTGTGTTGCTTTCGTTCTTAAGGTGTGCCATTTTGACAGTTTTTTTCACTCAACAGTACAATGGTGTTTTTTCAGTTTTGGTTCCCAAGCTCAAAATGATCTGATCTAGGTTTTTTGTTTTCAATTATCTAATTCAAAAGAAAAAAAAAATATGATAGCAATATAATAACAAATAGTGGAGTTGTTATCTTTGGAGTAAACAACATGAAGAAGATGGATGCATTTGAGGACGCGAGTTTTTTAAAAAAGTTTTCATTGATTGAGCGTTGATCTAGATTTCATCAACGGCTCTGATCTAATCCCATCTTTTACAAGAGAGCATCTATGCACTTGATTTTTTGTGATGCTAATTTGATCTTTTTGTGGATTATGGATACTAAATGTGAAAAGTTAGGAACAGATGTTGTTGCCGTAGATGACTTTTATCCATCTTGATCTAACCCTATATATATATATATATATATATATATATATATATATATATAGAGAGAGAGAGAGAGAGAGAGAGAGAGAGAGGGGGTTCTGGATCCAGTGAGATCATCTAATAAGATGAGATCTCATCTCAAGCATTAAAAACGTTAGAATGAATGGTTAGGATTAAAAGTCAACTAGCATTTAATTAAGAATAGTTTTAAAATAGAATATTTACTATAATATAAGTGAACATATTAATCTAAATAATTAATTATATTTTAAGTTCTGAGATGAATTAATACGTCTGTGGGTGTGTGCGTTTGTGTTACATGGCGTGTACGGTGTAGAGGTGGCCACGGGCCGGTTCAAGGTCGAACCAACCCTGAATCGGGCCGGAAAAAAGTAGGCCTGGGCCTCACTGGGCCTGAGCCGGGCTTAGCTCGAACCAGAACCTCCTTGTTAAGGGCCGGTTCAAGTCCTTGTTAAGGGCCGGGCCCGAGCACGACCCGGGCCCTAACCGGCCCAGGCCCGGGCAAACACACCTATGGCAGCAAAGGATGCTAGCTTTGCTTCCATGGCTAAATGCCTATAATTCTAAAAAAAAAATAGTAATTTTGATTGTGGCAGCTAGACTTATTACTTACTACACATCCCTGCAACGTGCAACGGCCAAATATATTTGGCCGTTGCATGTAGCCTTTGTCGGAGGCTAGACTAGGCTTGGCCTCCGGTAGAGGCTACTCCTGTTCTCGCCTCTCGGCTAGTGCAACGGCTAAATTTTTTTGTTTTTCTTCTTTTTATTTACCATTTTACGCTATAAATACTCTTATCCAATTTATTTTTATCACACAAAAATTTTTAATCCGACACTTTCTTACTTCTACTCACAATAATTCTCCATAAATTAAAAGCAAACCCAATTTAAAAGTCTTTTAAAAATTTTTAATTTATCTTCTAACATAATTTAGTGAGTAAAAATCAAATGAACTTTATAAACTATACTCATTTTATAATATTTATAAGTTATCAAATAATATTAAGTCAATAAGTCTTATATAAAGATTTAATAGTACAAGACTACAAGTTCAAATGTTTTTAACGTCATTTATAAATTTTAATTTAGTAGAAAATCATGTTAATTTTAAATTTTGATATTAATAACAAAATTATTAATCTTATAAAAGTGTGTGACTATGTAATGTGTATATATACATTAATTATTATTAATATACTAAGAGGTTGTAGTAGCTTAATTGGAAAAAAACTTAAATTGGTAACTTGGATTTATAGGTTAAGGATTCAAATCTCTTTTTAAACAAAAATATATCAATTTATATAAAAATTTATATATTTAAAAAAATAAACAATATAATAAATTATGGGCATAGCTCACAAAAAACCCGGGAGCGGCCCGGATTAGGCCCGGCACGGGACCGGTTCCTGAATACCATGGACCGATCACGAGTTGTGCTGGCCGAGGCCCAAGACCGGACGTTGGCCAGCTCTAGTATGGTGTACAAACCCATATAGGCGAATTATAAAAAAATAAAAATAAATCCTTATAGGCAAATACAATTTACATATATAATACAACATTGCTACTATTAAGGAGTCCCAATACTAAACGTATTCATACAAATTCTGAATATTTAATTTTAAAAATCATTTGAAATTTTGACCCTTTTCCCAAAGAGAAATAAAAAAGATAGGTGGGTTAATTAGGGGGATGACCGGTAAAATTATTTGAAATTTTGACCCTTTTTCCAAAGAGAAATAAAAGAGTAAATACCCAAAATGGTCCATCGACTATATCCAAATTCACAAATTGGTCATCGACTTTCAATTTCAACCAATTAAGTCCTTAACTTTGCAATTTTGACACGATTTGGTCCTCCATCTATTTGACCGTTTGTTGACCGCGATCTTTGAGGATTTATATGTAGTTTCACGTGCAAAGCTCAAGAGAACGCTCTTGGAGGTGACATCGTTGTTTTGGAGGGGGAAGTGCTTCTCTGCTTGCTGCTTGGTGATCACAAGCCGGTTCAACTTAGAGAACGCTCTTGGAGGTGACAGCGTCGTTTCAGAGGGGGGAAGTGTTTCTCCGCTTGCTGTTTGGGGATCCCGAGCCGGTTCAGCTTGCCTACATCGCTTGGAGTCACGACCTTCTCGAAGAGCCACTTCAGAGACTTCGGCGATCTATCTATCAAAAGCTATAATCTCTCCGGCATGGGGTGCAGTGCCGGTAGTGGATTCAAATGTAACAGTGCGGTCTAGAAATGCAACCGGAATCTTAAAATACTGACAATGGACCATGAAATTACATATATAACCTAAAAAAGCGCAGTCAACAAACAGTCAAATAGACAAAGGACCAAATTGTGTTAAAATTACAAAGTTAAGGACTTAATTGGTTGAAATTAAAAGTTGAAGACCAATTTGTGAATTTAGCTATAGTCGAAGGACCATTTTGGATATTTACTCAATAAAATAGATAGGTGGGTTAATTAGGGGGATGACCGGTAAAATTATTTGAAATTTTGACCCTTTTCCCAAAGAGAAACAAAAAAGATAGGTGGGTTAATTGAGTAACACAATGATATGCTGAAGCCGGCCTCACGGGGAGGGGGGGGGCCCTTTCCGATCTGAAGGCCGAAGCAACTTCGTCTCTCGCCTCCGCAGAGAAACTTCCCGCCTCCACACGCCCAGTTTTCCACCATCTTAATGCTCCCGCTGGAGTTACAGGTTCGCGCTACTAAGCGCAGCGCAGAGTGCTTCTAGCTAGGGACTTATGAAGAGAATAAATTTCTCATCTGATTTCGATGTGGGAAATTGTGCGAGGACTTGTTTGGCTTTCATGGGGAAAAATGGAGCAGACAACTATCAGGCATGGTTTTTTATTTGCTTCACTGAATGGAATGACAGAGATGATTGGGTTCTACTGGCAGCATCCAATCACACCCTATAAGCTTTAATTTGCTTCATTTTTATTTCCATCTCACATTATTTTCATATGGCTTTATTGTTTAGTTTAGAAATGTGCTCGATTATATGTTATGCAGGCGAGGGAGGAATGATATGATGAAAGATCTTCAGCATTATTTGGAAGCCTTGGTACTATATATGTAAACTTTAGCAGTTTTGATCATTTATTGAGTTTAGGGGAAATTAGGGTTGCGATGGAGAAATTAGAAATTAGAAAAATATGCTTTGGATGGACCTATTCAGCAAGTTAAGTTGAAATGGAGTTAGTTCAAGCGTTTGCCTGCTCATCCCAGCACATAAATATATTTCTACCCAAAAGATTGTGTATTGTTCAATTTTCATTCCCTGTTGTACGTTGACTATTATCTTCTTATTTTTTCATAAGACTTCACATCTCGCAGGATGAAACTAATCCGGTCAAATCTCGGTCTGTTCTCAAAAGGATATGATGTTCAATGCAAAGATTAGAGTTGAAGCTTATCCCCTTCCAATCTTTTGAGGTGAGTGCAGATATCCCTATAGTCATTTTCAATTTTTCAGTGGAACAACTTGAACTAGTGTATGTGCACCTAATTGGCTAATTACCCTATAGTCATTTTCAATTTTTCAGTGGAACAACTTGAACTAGTTTTAGTAGTGTATGTGCACCTAATTGGCTAATTATAATGTTGAAAGAAAGCTGTGAAAATGATTTCAGTGCACCACCCCTTTTCTTCTAAGTTTTAATACTGGAAAAACTTCATAGTGGGCTAAAAAGACGATGGTTCAATTTGGACAGCCCATTAGGCATTAGTGTGCTTTGGACACCACAGCTTGTTATCCTTCCACTGCAGAGAGGAGGAGGTTTTCGCTGCTCTGTGAAGCCAGCCTCACGCAGTACCCTCCAATCTAAGGAGGGAGTAGCCTCCGCCTTCGCTAAGACTACTCCATCAACTCACCACTTGGAATGGGCAGGCCAGTAGATAGCAACCTAAGCCCAGCCTTCAGAGCAAGCCCAATTCTTCCACCATCTTAATGCTCTCGCTTGAGTTACAAGCTCGCACTACCAAGCCCAGCAAGCAATTCTTCTAGCTAGGGACTTATTAAGAGAACATATTTCTCATATGGTTTCGATGTGGGAAGTTGTGCGAGGGCTTGTTTGGCTTTCATGGCGTAAAAATGGAGCAGACAACTATTGTGTATTCATGGTTTTTGACAGCTATGAGATTTGCGTTGTATCATTGTGACGGAAGGAGATGAAGAAACAACGGGCGCATTATTTGTAAGCATTGCTACTATATATGTCAAATTTCACAGTTTTGATCATATATTGCATTTAGGGGAATGAAATTAGGGGTGTGAATTGAGATTATGCATTTTTCTTTTCATGCTAATTTGATCGTTGTTATGGATTATGGATAAATAATGTAGGCAGTTTACAGTTTACATAAAGGCAATTCCAATTGCATTGGTGGAAGATCGAGAATCTATCAGCAAGCTCTTACTCAGTGTATATTGTGGTTAGAATGTCTCCTGGTGAACTGTGAACATACCACTTTAATTTCTTCTTCTGATCTTGTAGTTCCTTACTAAGTTTCTCAAAGTTGCACATTGCAATATGGTAACTTCCTTCTTTGTTTGATAACTGATACGCAATCCTATGAATTTGTAGCATTTCAATTTTTTTCTGTTTGGTGTGACAGTCAGTCTGTGTTTGGCATTGGTTTCTTGATCCATAGTTTTGCATTATTATATTGTTATTATGATGTTTTGCATTGTTGAAGCTCGTGAAAGCTACCATGCCTTGTATTTAGTCTCTAACACTTCTAAGATCATATCGATGAAGCAGTGTATGGGTATTTGAATTGAAGGAGGAAACCTCTGCTTGCTGTTGTGGATACTCAAGGAAAGATACCTCTGATAGTATGGTAGAAAATGCAATAATCTTGCAGATGCTTAATTGAATATTATTGAATGTTGTAATGTGGCAGGTGCATGTTATTTTAATATATACACTGTTGTGTACAATATTGTTGACCATTTTATTTTAATAATACAATACATACATTGTATTTGAATATTGTTGTGTTGTAAATATGTGTGTTTTATGGCCATTATTTTTACTGTTATGGTAGCACTTTCTAATCCAGTTTTTCCTATTTTGTATACTAGTATTTGTCCCGTGCGACGCACGGTATAAAATTTAAGTATTTTTATTGTTGATAAAATTCAAACATCAATCATTAAAATTAATTATGAAATGTTACTTTTTTTTTTATAATACTAAATTGGTTGTTATATTAAAACATCACAACATACTATTAGCATATATTATAAAGCATTGTGTTATTAGATATCACATGATATTTTAAAATTTTACATTTAAATATATATATATATATATATATATATATATATATATATATATATATATATATATATACACACACACATACATAATTTAAAATTAATAAATTAAACTATATACAGTAAATAAATGATTTTTTATTTTTTTCCCAAGACATTTAAAACTCATTGTGATTAATAATCAGCCATCCACAATTAATCTACAATCAATCTAGCAATTAAGGTTATACCATGGAATGATGCCATTTCATTTAGGCGGGAAAATGACATGGCAAAAACATTTTGCTATTATATAGAGTAAAATAAGATGTATATATATCATCGATTATCTAATGAAAGTGGTTCCTGAGTTGTACTTTCTAATACAGTTTTTTTTTTCTATTTTGTACATACATATACATATATATAGAGGCTCTGGACCAAGTGAGAGAATTTAATAAGATGAGATTATGAGATCTCATCTCAACTATTAAAATAGTTAGAATGGATGGATACGATTAAAAGTCAACTAGCATTTAATTAAGGATAGTTTTAAAAGAAAAGGGTGAAAGAGTAATTGTATTATGGTGTTTAATTTTGGTTATAATTAAAATAGAATATATACCATAATATAAGTGATCATATTAATCGGAATAATTAATTATATTTTGAATTCTGAGATGAATTAATACGTTTGTGGGTGTGTGCGTTTGTGTTACATGGCGCATTGGCGTGTGCATATTACGGCGACTAACAACATGATCGATTATGTGCATCTGTAATTTTTATTTAGGTGATTTTTACGATGGTGTGTGCATGGGTGCGGTATGGCATGTGCAAGTTACCGTGTCGCGAACTTTGCATGACATTGTTATTATTATTATTTTTTGTTTTTTTTAAGTGTTATTTGGTGTGAGCGTGAATTCATGTTGGTTTTTTCTTTTTTCTTTTTTTTCTTTTTTATTTTATTTTTTAAAAGATTGCAAAAGAAGGGGACCTTTGATTTTTACGGGGGTGTGTGTGTAGTTGTGGTATGGCGTGTGTATATTATAGGGATGGGGACATTTGATGTGTGCGTGAATTAATGTCGTTTTTATTTTATTTTATTTTATTTTATTTTTTTAAAAAAAATTCTAAAAGTACTTGTCCTTTGTTTTTATTTTTATTTTTTAAAACAAAATTGTTATTTACGGAGGTGTTTGCATTGGTGTGGTATGGCATATGTAAGTTATTGTGCCACGGACTTTGCATGACGTTGTTATTATTATTTTTTTGTTTTTTGTTTTTTTTTTAAAAATTGTTATTCAGTGTGAGCGTGAATTCATGTTGTTTTTTTGTTTTTTTGTTTTTTTTTTTAATGCAAAAGTACTAGGCCTTTGGTTTTTATGGTGGTGTGTGCATAGTTGTGGTATGGCGTATGCATATTATGGGGTTGGGGACATTGCATCTTGGTTTTTTTTTTATGGGGTTGGGGACATGCATATTATGGGGTTGGGGACAACGCTCGAGTCCTGAACTTCATGCAACCGCTGCCACCGCTGAGCAAGCCCTAACCGCCTCCCGATATCATCTCTCTGCTGGCAATGTCATCGTCCAATGAAGAGAGCTACGCCACCGCATTTTACACGCCGTAAGGCTCCACTGTCAGCAACGATGACAGCTCACTCTTGTCAACAAAAGCGGGGGCGTGTGCTAATGCCCTCAAAGTGGAGACTGAAAGGACTATTATTCCCTCACAGTACACGGCCACTTAACACTCCAACAGACGGAGGACCATAAATCAATACTTGAGAACTTAATCAGTCAAAAATGAAAGCCGAGGACCAATAATTTGGTACTTTCGCCATAATCGAGGGACCAATAGCCCATAGCCCAAATTTTTATCATGAACCATAAAAAAAATCTTGATCATGACCCATAGCCCAAATTTTATTAAAAATAAGTTTATATATTTTCTAATTTTTTTAAAGTTCAAAGTTATTATATTTATCAATTTATGTTTTTATTTTGTTATAAAGAGTTAGGACTTAAAAAGTACTTATTTTCATTTTTTTATTATAGTTATTGTTAATATTTATAACTAATTAACTAAATAAATTTTAATTTAGAACTTTATTTTAATATAAATTAAATAAAAGCATAGTATGTAGCCAAAAGAAAAAAAAGAGAACAAAATCATAGTATTAGTACAAGGACAAAGGGGTATTTGACAAATAACTATTAGCTGATAATTGATAGCTGATTGAGTTAGCTATAGCATTAGCAGATTGTAAAATATGTTTGATAAAATTAGCTGTTAGTTGATAGCTTATTACATGTAAAATGACCTATAAGAACATAAGTATATTATGATATTTATTTAACGCTTAAAATATTTTTACAATTTATTGTCATCGTTGTGTTATTATTAATTATATTTTAAGTATTGTTTGTTGGTTTATTATTAATAACTAGTAACTAGTAATTCACCCGCGCGATGCACGGGAAAAAATTATGTTATTATAAATATAAATAAAAAATAAAAAAAATTAAAAATTTTTAAATTGTTTAATATAATAATATTTTTGAGCTTCCATTGGTCAAGTATTTATTATTTTTATAGAATATAAAATTACAATTAAAATTAAAATTAAAATTAAATTAAAATTAAAATTTTGTATGGTTAGTATAATCTCTAATTATGTGCATATTCAAATAAACTTATAGAGAGAATTTACATAATTACATTAATTTATTCTTAATTGTATTTCATCTATATTATAATTTTCACAATACGAATAATAACTAAGATAATTACATTTGGAAAGTAAATTTCAAATTTTGTATGAGTAAATTTAAACTCTAATTGAACACATTTTTTATATGATTATATAATATATAGCTATTTTTATTTTTCAAAAGTACATTTTTATATGATTATATAATATATAGCAATAATGTTATAATTATATAGAAATTATCCTTAGTTAATAATAATTTAATATTAAAAATATAATTTCAAAGAAAAATATAATAAACATTATTGTACTATTTACTTAACTTTTACAATACTTTTTCATCGTCGCATTATTATTAATTATATTTTAACTATTTTTGTTGTTTTATTATTAATAATGTTATAATTTTAAAGAAATACTCCCTACTTAATAATAATTCAATATTAAAAATATTATAAAAAAACCATAAGTTGTTTATAATAATAATTCAACATAACAGTTAACACAATTATATAAATGTTTTAGGCCAAGAGTCAATTCAGATAAATGTCAGGCTCTAGGTGGTTTTGGAGATATTATTAAAATATAAAGTTGAATAAAAATTGAATAAATATAAATACTACAATAATCAATGTGTAAATTAGACTTTTAAAATAAAAATAGAGTTAATACCCAAAATCGTCCTCGACTATAGTGGTTTTTCTCAATTTCGTCCTAAACGACTTTGGTGACCTAATATCGTCCCAGACTTTTGTGTTTCGCTCAATTTAGTCCCAGACTTTTGTGTTTTTGCTCAATTTAGTCCTTCATTTGTTATTCTGTCCATTTGGTGTTAAATAAATAGACAATTTAGTAATTTTAATATTGGCATATCTTTACTCAAAGACATGTGAACTGCAAAATCGTTTTTTTTTTTTACTAATTACTCCAAGAATTACTCCTAAAACTGCGAATATAAAATTTGATTTGCAGGTCCGGGAGTAATTCTGGGTGTAATTCGTACAAGAAAGAGAAATTTCGCACTTCACAAGTTGAAAGTAAAGAGAGATCAATATTGACATTACTGAATTGCCCCTTTATTTAACACCAATTTGACGGAATAACAAATGGAGGACTAAATTGAGCGAAACACAAAAGTCTGGGACGATATTAGGTCACCAAAGTCGTTTAGGACGAAATTGAGAAAAACCACTATAGTCGAGAACGATTTTGGGTATTAACTCAATAAAAATAGAATAAACTAATTAATATCAATATGCTACTCAAAATAACTTTTTCATTTTCAACTTTTGGCACCAATAAGTAAAATCAAAAGGTTATTTACCAAACACTCATATTAAATGTTTGACCATTCAACTAACTAAAGTTGGTCAAACAATAAGTGAATTTTGGCTGATAAGCCATTTTCCAAACACCCAAAATAAGTTACACATAATCTTAGGAAAAGAGAAAGAGGGAGCAATAAAATAATTTAATGCTCAATATTGATGGTAATAAATAAATAAATAAAACTTAGAGTTGTTAGATTGTCTTACTTGCTAATAGCTTTTTGAGTTGGGAATAGGAATTTTCAATATTTTTGTATTGACAAGTAGTTCATATTCTCAACCTTGTCGTGCTTGAATGGATATCATGGGCTGATCGAGACATAATTCTATAAAAAAACAATAATAATAATAATAATAAAATGTGTAATCTATTGGTACGGTTCATGCTGATGGTCATGTTAAAACAAATTTAGAGTTGTTAGAGTGTATTATTTTCAATTTATGAATATTTTATGAAATTGTTGGGTTGCCCATAGCTTCAATCAATATTTCATGGACCGTGGCCCACACATTTGTGTGAACCATAATTTATGTATATTTTTAATATACTAAAAGTATATTAGTATATTTTTAATATACTAAAAGTACATTATTTGTATACATAAAGTACATTATTTGAAAGTACATGATCTTTTATTATATTATCAAATAATGTACATTTAGTACACAAATAATATATTTTTAGTATATTAAAAATGTATATTGCATTCATGGTCCACATAGCTGGGTAGAACATAGTCCACACAATAATTTGCCCCATAGCTTGTAACAAAAGGTGGAATCGCCCACCTCAAGTGTCCTCGCACCCCAGTTCGATAGAATTACTCTTGGTGAGAGGGAATTCTTAGTCTCTTGTAACAAATTTCACCTTTCTGTGACAATTGAGCTACCCAAGTGGGTTTAATTGTCCATACCTAATTGACTCAAACCAAGTTAAACTTGTAAGCTTGTGATTTTCGCCTGACCAACTTGGCTGAGGTTGTCCTAAATTACCCAATTAATTATCTTTTCATGGTTGGAGGGTTATTGGCCGCATACCTGATCTAGTTATTGGATTGAGACATAATAATAATTTAAGGTGAATAATTTGGTTGTCCGTCCCCATCCACAATCGTTACGCTATGAGCACGTGCCCACCTTGTATGATGCGTACGAATCTATATCTCTAATTTTTATACTGTAGATTCATAATTTCTAAACTTTCGGTGAGCAAAAATTTATACTTTAGATTCATAATTTCTAAAATCGTAGGATCCATAATTTAACTACAGTATATCCATAATTTCTATACAGTAGATCCATAATTCCTATGCTGCACTGATTTGTGAAAACATGGTATAAATTTTAGCTCACCAAGATTTTAGAAATTATGGATATAGATTCGTGCACACCATATGCATGGTAGGCATGTGCTCACAACATAATTCGCCGTTCTTGAACTATTCATGAAAGTGTAATTAAGTCCGAAAAAGTTATAATTAGACACTTGAACGTAGATATTATTTATTTATTTATTTATTTATTTATTATTATTATTATTATTATTATTATTATTATTATTATTATAAAATTACAATATTAAAAAATATCTTGGCTGCCAACTGTCATGGCATTGCCGGCCAAGCTTTTTTTTTTTTTTTTTTTTTTTTTTTTTTTAATATAATAATAATTAATATCTTGGCTGCCAACCGTCATGGCATTGCCCGCCAAGCTTTTTTTTTTTCTTTTTTTTTTTTTTAATATAATAATAATAGTAATTATAATAATAATAAATAATAATAATAATAATAATAATAATAATAATAATAATAATAATATCTAAGTTCAAGTGTCTAATTAAAGCTTCTTCTAAGGCAAATTATGACGTGAAAACGTGCCGACCTTGTAAGGTGGGGACAGTTCCACAATGACGTCGTTTTCAACGAAAATGATGCTGTTCTATTTTTTTTTTTAATTATTTTTCACTTTCCGTTAACGACGTTTCTCTCTTCGCAATCGGACAGTTTAGAAATTATGAATGTACTGCATTTAAATTATGAATCTACAGTATTAGATTTGTGAATATGTGACAGAGCTATATGTTCATAATTTTATAAATATATGTTCATAATTATAGAGCTATATGTTCATAATTTTCAATGTTCATATATCCAATTGTTGGACTTTGTATTCACAAATCACAGAACTATATGTTCATAATTTGATAACTATACAGTTTAGAAATTATGAATCTACAGTACAAATATTATGAATCTACAGTACATAAATTATGAATCTACAGTACAAATATTATGAATCTGCAGTATAGAAATTATGAATCTACTGTATAGAAATTATGAATCTACTATTTTTAAATTATGAATCTACGATTTAAAAATTATGAATCTACAGTATAGAAATTATGAATCTACAACCGTGCCCACATTGTAAGGTGGACACGATTCCACAGCATAACGCTCCATTCAAGAGTTTATTTGACCATTATCCCTATATATATTTCTAACTCAAGGGCTTAAGAGAAAATTACACTTTTAGTCCTATGACTATTAATGTCTTGTTAATTTCAATCCACGACTTTAAAAACTAACAATTTAGTACCTTAACTATGCAATTTTTAACAGATTTGGTCCATGCGGCCAAATTGCCGGCGAATTTTCACCGGAAACTTGTAATTCATTTTAATTTGTTTAATAAGGGGGGCAATTCGGTCATATCACGTTAAAAAACAAAAGGGGAAGTACTTTTCACCACCGCCCAAAATGCAGCCTCCGATTGCTTCGCTCGCATTGGAAATTTCGACTCGCGAGATGTATATGTTTGTTTAGAAATATAGAGGATGAGGAAGAATGGTGATGGTGAAGTGGAGGCTGGATGAAAAGTAGTTTATGCTTCGCTTACTGTGTTTTGTGCTTTTAGCCTCAGCAATCGCGGTTATGTGTTTCAGAAGTCATGTTTTCCAAGGAAGCAGCAGCATTTTACATTCGTCCGCCGTTGGAAATTTCATCGCCGCCGGAAATGCAGCTTCTCTGCAGTTTCTGACTACTTCGCTCAGCGGCGATGGAAACTCGGACTCAGAGTCGCCCCCGCCGGAAATAGCAACGTAACGGTGCAGTTGAATTCGACGGTGATCGGCAGCGAAGATGCAGGTTCTTCGCCTCCGTCTCCGCCTAGTTATCCCAATTTGATCGATTCAATTCAGTAAAATACATCAATAATTGTATGAATTTTTTCTTTTTTTAGATATATAAAATTTTCACAATAATGGTTGAACTTTCACCGGCGAAGAACGAAGAAGGAAGAAGGAACAAAGTGAAATGACCCATTTGCACCCCAATTAAATAAATTAAAATGGATTAAAAGATTCCGGCAATAATTGGCCGACAAATTGGCCGGATGGACCAAATCTGTTAAAAATTGCATAATTAGAGTACTAAATTGTTAATTTTTAAAGTCGTGGATTGAAATTAAAAAGACCCTAATAGTCATAGGATCAAAAATGTAATTTTCTCTTACACTGTCATATTCCAAGCAGTGCATGTTTGCTTTTGGTTAATGGATAAAGTTATATGAATAAATTATTTTCACCATCGAATGTAACAATAAAATTGTTCACTACTTATTATTATTATTATTATTATTATTATTATTATTATTATTTGGATACTTACTAAACATTTACATACAATGAGATAAATGTTAAAAAATTATGCTTAATAACTCACCACTCCAGACCTATCATCCACAAAGTATTTTGATTCCTTGCAACACGAACTGCTATATACAACATAAATACATAATTTAATTAAGTAACGAAGACAAATAATTTAGTCCTCCATATTCATGGTAATATAAAAACAAAATTGGAGTTGTTAGGTGGTTTGATTTATCATTTGAAGACGAAATTATCAACTTTTTTTTTGAATGCTACTAGCTCTGGAGTTATTAGGTGGTTTGATTTATCATTTGAAGACGAAATTATCAATTTTTTTTTTTGAATGCTACTAGCTCTATTATTGAGGCTTGAACTCATAACCTTCCTAATGGAAGTCCAACCCAGGTACCATTGGACCACATAGTCCTGATAAATTATCAACTTTTTAAATAAGTAGGTTACCTTCAATAATAATAATAATAATAATAATAATAATAATAATAATAATAATAATAATAAATAGGTCATATTTTTTAATATTAATTATAGAGCAAGTTGGGGGTGACATTTGCACATCTACCAATTGATTGAGACTTTTTTTTTTTCTTTTTTAGCGAAGAGAACATCTTCAAACATGTCGTGATGAGTGATAATGATGCGTCCTATAGTTTGCAGAGCCGATTAAATATTAAATAGTTAATTTAATATAACAGCAAAATTAAATATTATTGTATATTTCATATTGCTATAGAACCACTTGCATTAATATAAATATAAACAAATTATGAGTGTAAGTAATTTTTTATTTTTCTTTTTGCAATTTTAATAAGTAGGCCATATTTGTATTCTTATTAGATGCCCAGAACTATACAGGGAAATAGTCAAGAAATGCGGGAAATTATACCATGAACCAGAGTCTATCTTGCATTGTGGATTCTGGTCCAAAAATAATCTTTAGATTTTTCTTCATACAATTGACACATTTTGTACTTGCAATTAATCGTTTTTGTATTTGTAAATAAATTAAAGACACATCATATGGTAATTATAGACACATAACACAATAACTACAAACACATAAACTGTTAACTGCAAGTATATAATATGTTAACTACAAATATATAACATGTACGTTAAATATCTTATTTGTTTGCAGTTAATATATTTTGTACTTGCAGTTAACAATTCATGTGTTTATAGTTATTATGTTATGTGTATTCAATTTGTTTACAGGTACAAAAACGATTAACTGCAGGTACAAAATCTGTTAACTACAGACACAACCCTGATCCAGGGTATAACAAAGGAAAAAATGCAGTATAAATTAGGAAAGCCAAAAGTTGCAAATGCATTATTACAAATTCAGCTAATATATTTATATATGTGTACTAATATATTATTATAAAATAGTTATAGTCGAGATTATTAAATATCAAATTTTGTTACTCTAAAATGACTGTTAAATTTCGTGGTTTAGGTAGGTGTGCAATTAATTCTAAATTGTTTGGCAAACAGAAGCAGTAAGATTGAATGTTAAATTCAATTTTCCACTCATGGTGCGTTTGACAACTCAAAAAATAATTCACAAAAATCATTTAATTCCCAATTTTCTTGTGTTTGTATATTGGAAAAAAAATGGAGTCAAATTAAAGGAAAATATTTATTCTAATCAACGTAAAAAAGGTTATTTTTGAATGCTACTGACTATATAATGAAACACATAGAGTTAACAACACCTCCACTAAGACTCAATCTCATGACCTCCCATATAGGAGAAATCACTACATGCCATCTAAGCACATAGTGGTTAACAACATAAAAAAGGTTTAATTTGGTGAAAAATGTTTTTCTAGATTTTTAGTCTGAAGACATTTTTGAAATTCTTTATTTTCATGTCTCTCTTTTATCCATCTTCAAGCTAGCTTTCGGATTACTAATACCACCACACAACCACCAATGAACGCAGCACACCACCACCACCACCATTTACTTTTATTATTATTACTAGTCTTTTCTATGCGCGATGCGCAAAAACATATGCACAATATTTATATTTTTAAAAATAACTAACAAATCCCTACTAATTAAAATCTATATGAAATCAAATTTATTTATTATAATAATCCAATATATAATGTCTACAAATATTATTATCATTAAAGAATATAAGAAAATATGTGGTGGATGCATGTGCATGACAAAAATAATGGAAAAGATAACGAACGTTATAACGGTAGAGGCATTTTTGTCCAAAAAATTATATAGTACAACTCTAAAAGCACAATGTACAAAATGATTAGCATTAAAAACATGGACATAAATGGGGGATATAACTTTGATTGAGACTTATTATTATTATTATTATTATTATTATTATTATTATTGTTATTATTATTATTATTATTATTATTATTATTATTATTATTATTATCATTATTATTACAAATAATACATTTATTTTTAGGAAATTGAACCAAACAAAAAATATAATTTCTTAACTTTCAACCAAATACTAAAAAATTAAAATATTTTTTAATAAATAAGTTATTTTCTTAAAATCATTTTCTAGAAAATATTTTCTAGGTTTCCAAATGAATCCTAGTGTATTTGAATTTTTTTAAGAAGTGAGAAATTCAATTAAATAAGTTTTGATATAGTGCATGTAACTATGTAAGTATTATATGGGAATGTTTACTTTTGGTTAATGGATTGTTAGATGAATAAGGGTTAGTTAGAGTTAGGTGCTTATTCTTTCATTTGAATTTCAAATTCTTTGGCTGGTACTCTTCCAACCTTTGTATAAATAGGGTTATTCTTGTACAGAAATATATGAGAGTATACACACTGTTCTTGTATTTCAACATTTAACATGGTATCAGAGCCAAGTTAGTGAGAGTGAGTGTCTGGGCTAGGTCGAGGGAGGACGGGCGACGCCACTTCAAGAAGTCCGGCCGCCGTCGGTGCATCCACGCGCCCTCACGCGCCGCCGTCGCCGAGCAGCTCCGACGCCACGCGCCGGCGCGTGAGGCGGTTTCCGGCGACTTCGCCGGTCGATTTTTGCTTCTCCAGTCTCGCCTCGTCGTTCTGAGTTTTAGGAGGTGGGAGGTGTTGAAGTCTGGTTGTGTCTTCCAGTGAAAGAGGTACAGGCACTGTGTGGTTTGGCTGTTCTGCTTACTGCGTGAGGTTGGTACTGTTAAGCCTTTTTTTTTTTTTTTTTTTTTTTCTGTTGGTGTGCTGTGTAGGCTTTTGGTTGTGTTGGGTAAAGGGTTAGAATGGCACAAGAGAGGAATATCACTGTTATCTCCACGCCATCTAAATTAATTGATATAGTTTTGGCTCCGGATGAGTCTAATTTTCCTGAATGGAAATTTTTGGTTAAAGTTAATCTAGATGGTATGGGGAAGGGTGATCATCTGGAAAAAGAGTGTCCTACAGATGCTACAGCTGGGGACTGGAAAACTACTGATAAAGCGTTAATGTCACGTGTAATTAATTGCATTGATAGGAGAATTATTTTATCTATGCAACACTGCCAAACGGTTAAAGAAGTATGGGATTTAGTGAACAAATGGTTTAGTGGAACTAGTAACTTGAGAAAGTTATACCAATTATCTCAGGAAGCGTATCGGTCTAGTCAAAAGGGACGTGAGCTTAGAGATTACTATTACGACTTTAAGAGTGTTTGTGTTGCTTTGTGTGCTGCTATGCCGATAACAAATGATGTGGGTGAAATGACAAAACAACGTGAAAGATTACTTGTTTTTAGTTGGATTGCTGGTCTGGATAAAGAATATGATGTTATTAGATCTCAACTGCTAGGAAATAAGGATTTAGAGTCTTTGGATCAAGTATTTTCTATGCTACAGAATGCATCAGGAAATAATAATGATTCAAATGAGCTCCAGGAAAGAAATGTCCTTATGTCACAGGGTAATATGGATTCAAGTGCCCTGGTAACCCAAGGGGGAAGTACCAGTGATAATTATGGCTATGGCTCTCGAGGAGGGGGTAATAACCGCTCCAGAGGGCGCGGGGGTTCTTGGAGAGGTCGTGGAGGACGTGGAGGCCCACGAGTTTGTTTTAATTGTGGGGATCCCGGACACTTTCGAAATCAGTGTCCTAAGCCGCCGAGACAACAAATGGCTGCTAATACGGCTTCCACGTCAGAAGGTCATACAGTAGTGATGACAGATGAGGAGTTTGCTAGATTCAATCAGATGAAGCT